TTAATCAGAACTAATGAAACACAAACCAAGCAACTAAAAACGCCAAGTGCAATGACTCTTTCTCAGCAGAGTAGGGGAGCTCTGGTTTGATGGAGCATGTCTGCACCTTGGCACTGCACTGACAGCACCCGAGCCTTCCCTCCTCTTCTGCCTCTGCTCAGGCTCTAAGTTTCCATAAGCACCCAAACTCCAGCACTGCCCTCACAGGGAAAAGCTGCTGGGAGCTGACCAATACTTTTCTGAACACAAGTAAGATGCCACAGCAGGGTAAGAGCATCTGTCTAACTCTGGGAGGGGTTTAAACCTCACAGAAGAATCCCAGCTTGCGGGAAACCCTCCTGGCTGGTGTTTGACCCAGCAGGTAACAATAAGCACTATGGATTTCAGTGGTGCCCTGCATGGAAATGCTGTGGAACTGAGAGTTTTCCCCCACCTGTTTCCTTCCTGCACGCTGCCTGCTCAGTGGCCCCACACCACCCCCTGTCTCTGCTATGCAGGAATTCAAAGAATCAAACCCAAAGTGATTCAAGGGGACCCCGTGAAGCAGCAGGTTTTTTTTCTCCTAATCTTTTCTCAAGGTGTACAATTGCTTGCAAGAACAAAACCTAAAGTTAAAATCAGCGAAAGGCCCTTTTACTCTTTGCTCATCTAAGTGCCTCCCATACAGGCTGCTTCATATTTGCAGGTCCTGGGTACACAAAGCTAGAGCAAGGCTTTGCAAGGTTATGGCCAAGTGAAGCAATTTGCATCACTGGGGCCCTACATAACAGCTTTAGGCTTCTTGGTAAATTCACCTCATCCTCTGCTTCTTAAAGGAAAAAACATTAATGCATCATTTGCAATGCTAACCACAAAAAAATGAAATCTTCTGCTTCAGCATAAAGTAGGATACATAAGGAAAATAATTTTTGCCAGAACAAGAAAGGGAGCAAGATTATTCCTGTGTTCTCTAGTAGGTTTGGTGACCTAAATCCCCAGACAGTCATCTGGGACCTGGGAGCAAGCTTTCTGTTAAAGCCAGACACAGCTTGTGCACCCCTCCGAGTAGCAGGGACATTCCCACAGCATGCACAGAGATGGAAGCACACGGATAACTCCAAAAAAACCCTCTAACCTTAATTTGTTGATGCAGAAGAGCAAAGAAAGGATCGCCTTTCCATGAAAATGGAATTAAAAATTTAAACTAAGGTGAATTTTATAATTTAAAAAAAAACCAAAACAAAATGAAACTCTTAATTCATAAGATGCTAAAATCACGGTAGTTATTAACCTAACTTAAATTAACTGGCTTATTATTATAAAAAGTCATCAAATGTACTTAGCATTCTTTAGAGCCTTACAGTCAATTAATATAACATGAAATTGAATCAACTCAAGCACCTAGAGACACAGAACCCAGATTTAAATGAAAACTTCAGCCCCATCTACCCCAGGGTCTGAAAATTTGGGATCACCTACCACAGTTCCTCCATTGCAACGGGCACAAATCCTCATTTATATCCCATATCGAATTTACCCAGAAACAACTGAAAGAATGTGAGGAAACCATCTCCATGATTAAATTTTAGAGCTGAAGCTCGGCCCAGTGGGGTTTTCACCCTTTGAAGCTCTGCCTGACTGAGGGCCAGATTTTCTGAAGTGATTAGTACCACTGGGGCTGGATTTTCAGAGCTGCTCGAGCTGCAGTCAGGCCCTCAGCAGAGGCAGATGGATTTTCAAAGGAGCGCTCGACGCTCCCTCTCCCTGCGAGGAATTCCACGGCACACGTGGGAGATGGGATTCCCTAAGGAGCCCTTGGCTGCTGAGCACTTCTGAAAACCAGGACCTTTACTTACATCTTTCAATGGGGAAACACTGGCAGTTATACTATTTTGAACATCTTGTCCTAAAATAAGAGTTACCAAAACACATTTATTTCTGGCCAAAACCGATTATTCTTTATCACAGCAAAAACGAAACAAAACAAACAAAAAAAAGGAAGAAAAATGTTATATTTTCTAATATCCTAGAGTATGCTCTCTTGCAGAAAATCTGCAAGCATTTTACGGTGTTTGTCAAAGAGGAAGAAAGTGCTTGTTCAATGCTGCATGTCAAAGAAGCTTACTGGAAAAGATGAAAACTTATTATTGCCAATTTTGAAAAAAGAAATCTTTGGCTACCAATGAATAACTAATCTAAGCTAACAATGTCTGGAAATAGTTTTTTTGGAACACACAAAACTTTGTGACGGATAAAAATTAGGAAATTAACGTTTATTGTATTATTTCAAATGTAACTGTTTACACTTGAGGAAAAAATAATGGAATAATATCCACTTGGAAAGTTTTTATTTTTAAAAAATCCTTTGTAATACTCCCAGAAATTTCCTCGGCCAAAAGCAAAGAAGTTGCTTTTTAACCAGCTAGAAAAAAAGAGCATGATACTACAGGCATGGGCTCAGTGTACAATAAACACCAAAATGGCTTTATGAAATTCCTTGTGAAGACCTCACTAGCTGGTAGACATTTAAAATGCATCACAAACCACTCCATAGTCTACTAGATGTCTTCAAAATGTGTTTTCTCACGAGACAAGGAGGCCTGGACAACAAACCTTCTCCCTTTCGACCCAGACACGCCTCACACCCGCACGGAAGGTGCCCAGTTGCTCACGTTTGGATTTCTTGTCCCCTGAGCCCCACGGTCCCTCCGTGCCCCACATAAGGCCCTCAGGCCCAGAGGAGCCCAGTGAAGCTCAGCCCATCACCAGGCTTCTGGTGGGTGTTTTCCACCCCCAGGTGCTCCAACGCTCGCCTCAGACAAACAGCCCAACAGAAAGTGCCTCATGCTTTTGGTCAGACACAAGTGATGAGTCTAACAGAGGTGAAACTAATGCTACAGAACCCAGAATTCATAATTTTTCAAACTAAAGGTGATGCCACACACCCATCTCTGTGCACATTTATATGCAAATACAGAATAGAAAATTAGCTATTTACTCGTGGGCTTTCAGATGTGCTTCCTCCATATTCAAGAAATTTGCTATTTAGAATTAAATTTTGAAAGCAAATTAGCCATGCAAATGTTCTTAATGTAAGAAATAATTTTAATATTTGCAGGTATAAAATTCTACACAGAGCTTGGGCATTTTTACATACAGTAAGTATGAAACTGGAGAGCCTAATTCATTTGACAATCCAATGCCTATATGCATTTTTATCTGCAACAGGTTGCTCTTTCAAAACTGTGGATTTATCTGTTTGCTTTCAAAAAATCACCCTTAAATTTAATACACCCCAAAATGATGTACCAGATAATTTACAATTATAAATTCGGTCGTATGAAACTAAAAATTAGTTTCAAAAAATGATTCTATACCTTGTCTACTGCACTACTGAAATCTGCTGAGAGATGGAAGGCGTACAGGGTCCACTGCTCTAGACTCACACAAAATCAGTTCTAGAAATCTCCCTTGACATTAAGGTACTTGCTCTAACCCTTGAAACATACAGTTTTTAAATAAAAACCAAGCACGGTAACTTTGCACTCTCGGAGTTGTTCTCCCTCGTTCCTAAAATTCAGTCATCTCTTTACCCTACCAAGTCTTGAGCATGTGTTTTAGTCCACCAAATTCAGAAAGGGTATTCACAACACAAGTGAAAACAATCCAAGCAAAGGCATGTGACAGCAGGGTCCTGGATTTTTAAGTCCATGAACTCTCCAAGGAATCCCAATCCTTGTGCTTTGCTGAATGTCTGTACTTGTACGGAGAGAATGCACTTGGGGGGGACAGAGGGGCAAACATTCACCCTTCATCTGCAGAAACCTTCCAATCACAATAGGGCTGCTTTTGATTTTTGTTACATTTTTATTACATGTAAATTTATTAGCTGGTGCTAATACAACGTTATCACAATATTGTGCCTCAACAATAATTATACTGTGAACATAATGTGTACCCTCAAGTATTTAATATTGTTTCTCCCCTGCCTGCAAGTGAACCAGCGACAGCAGCTGTCCCCCTAACAAGAATAAGCTCCAAAATATGCTTAAACTTCACCTACAAAGTTCTTAGTTTCTTTTGCAGATTCTTGTAAAAGAACAGCTTAGATATGAGAGAAGACAAACGATTAATTTTGTACTGAATTACTTGAAAACCCTTAAACAGTTAGCCTCAAATAACCACGACCTGACACTCAGAAAATCCTCCTGAAATATGTCTGAAGCTGCTGTAAACTTCCTTTCTTTATTGAAACCTTAAGTTCAATTCCCCTTAGAGATTTTTATTTCTTTAGTTATCATTGCAAACATATTGCCATTAATTGGTTACAGAATTTTACCTATTCTGCTTTCGGATCGCAGTTGTGAATCACCAAGTCAATTCAAGGCAAAAGGCAATCATTCTGTGCTTTCTGCAGAAACTCACAATACAAGAGCTTTCACATTTCCAAAGACTGGAAGACTGGAGGGATTTTTTTTTCTCTCTGTTCTCATCCCAGGACAATTCATCTACAGTGGTGTCCGTGCTGACACTGGATATCAAAGTTCAAGACAGGGATATGAGCCAGCTTGTTTCCATATCACAGAGCCATCAGGATATACTGCCCAGGTGCAGCAGTGGGCTCCTGCAGCTGTCTCACATCTGGAATGGAGCAAGTGAGTCTTGCTACAGGTCTCAGGTAGCCTGAGATGCTCTGCCACAGCACAGGGTACACTGGAATGGTACCAGTGACTCACAGAGCAACAACACTATGTATGTAGGAACTGGACAGATTAAGAATGCCCAAAGGGCGGCATCAGTTCACTTCTCCCCATAAATAATTTATATTTTAATGGACTAATAGATTTCCTCAAAGTAAATTGCATAAAATACCACACCTAAAAAAAAAAGAGACACTTAAATGTGCATTTGCTCAACCCCTGAGAGGATGAAACTAGGTAACCATGCACACAGAACAAGAAAAGCTGATTGAATTGAGAGGGGATGATCTGCAGGGGAGTTGGGAAGGGACCAACACTAACCTCTGGGTAGCCTCCAACGTCATGCACGTCGATTCCAAGTAGGTGTCCAAGTCCGTGTGGCATAAATACTGCACCCAGATGAACCTTCACCATGTCATCTACGTTGCCTTTCAGAATGCCAATTCTGGTCAACTCCTCCAGATGGACTCTGTCAGCCAGGCGGTGCATGTCAGGCCAGGCGACCCCTTGGAGAGCAGAAACCAGCAGCTGAGTTAACGATTGCTGCAAGTTTTGAACCACGGCTTTCAAAAAACAGATGTAACACGTGCCCTTTGTTTATATAAAAAAACAAAGGTGGAAAGAGCAACTACATTAGCACAAAAATACTTTGAATGAGACAAAGCTATTTTAACACGCCTGCAAAGTACAGAAAACTACTAACGGGAGAAATAGGACCACCTCATAATCCAGACCCACACGAAAAAATATGAAGAGACTGTATCTAAGCATGTATATACAAATGTAAATGTATCAGTGAGTCTTCTATAAGAATGTTAAGTGTAGAATGCAGTTATTTAAAAGGCAGAGCATTAAATATTACTATGCCGTTATTTTCAATAATGATCATACTACTTTAGAACATTTGAGGTGGACAGTACTTTTCTACGTACGCTGAAGATTTAAAGCCCACATCTTCCTGGCAAAGACACTCTCCAGAAATTAATGATTCCCTTGTGTTAATGGGCTGTGTAAAACACAAATCCTCTAATACGTGTACTAAAACAGCATTACAAAATACTGTTGGTTGACTAGAGACAGAGTGCCAGGATACATTAGATTGCTATTATTTGGTATAGGATACAATTTTGTTTGACAAACTGCTGGGGGGAGGAGGGAGGAAGAAAGCGGCTCTTTTGTTAGTAACACAGTGCTGTCTTAATTAGTTCACCATGGCTTTGAGTCATCATCAACAGAGCAGTTGCAGAGTCAAGACAACTAGGGCTAAGGTACAGTAGAAGAATATTTTCCTTGTTCAATTTTGGCATGATTAAACAAATAAGAAATGAGCAATTTTTAAAGCCAAACCACCATCAAGTTCCATTTGCTTTAATCCAGTTAAACACGCAGCTCTAGGGTCTCATGAACGTGAATGTCATATCTTAATTACATTAGCACTTTCTGCTGAAAGTACTGAGGCTTCAAAGCCTGAAATGAAATCATCCTATGGGAGTGCTTAAATAACATTCAGCTGTCTGTTGTGGCTCTGATATGAAGATCAGAACCAAACTGGTCAGCACGTGGCTGCTCTGCCTCGCACACCGTCCACCTTTGCGCTGCCGCGGGCGCCGGCTGGGATCCAGCTCTGTGTGTCAGGCAGCCTCCTCTCCCCAGCACACTGCTCAGGGACCAAACCTTGGGATCCAGCTCTGTGTGTCAGGCAGCCTCCTCTCCCCAGCACACTGCTCAGGGACCAAACCTTGGGATCCAGCTCTGTGTGTCAGGCAGCCTCCTCTCCCCAGCACACTGCTCAGGGACCAAACCTTGGGATCCAGCTCTGTGTGTCAGGCAGCCTCCTCTCCCCAGCACACTGCTCGGGGACCAAACCTTTACCCTGCTGCCTGCAGGCTCGTCCCTGCCAAGCAAGGCCACAAGGCAGAGGGACAGGCACAATATGCTGCACAAACCCCCAGTGCTGCCTCGTCACAAAAGCCAGACGGCCCAAGTGAGTGATGCTCACCCATGAAATGTGTGCGGTCTTCCTGGTCAAAATGTGCTATTTCTGTGGATTCCTACTTTAAAAAGGAATTTAGATTTTTCATAATAAGAACCAATACAACTATAACCAGTTGTTCTTTGACAACCATGTTCAACATAACTATATTTTACAATAATTTATCTTTCTGAATGTTTGATTGCATTGTAATTTTCACCTCCCTAGATTCACCTGTGTTTCACAGCTCTCTCACATCAGACTCCAATCTATTGTATGATAGATTGAAATCGTTACAATCTATCACATCAATATCATGGATATCACACTGGAAGTATTAGTGAATCACAGTCGCTTTCCTGTTTATTTTATAGCTGTGAGAATACAGAATTTCTGCGTCTAAGCCCAAGTTCAGCTTCTGCACTTTGCAGTCAACTCTAACTGTTCTAAAAGTCTTTAATCTCCTTTCTGAGGACACTAGATGTTCTTTTGAGCTCTCTCCCACGATATCTTAGCTGAGTATTACTACAAGTCATCTATTTTCATCCCCACAACTGCAAAGCCACATGTAATGTCTGACTCTGGTCAACTATCTGAAGCCTCATCTTCTCTTGATACAAATGAAGGTCAGAACTCCATGGCTGTAAGACAAAACACAACCATACCCCGGATGCTCTGAATCAAGTTAAGATGAGGTGCCTGAGAAAACTGGACATGAGGTGCCTGTTGTTTGCAGCACAGCTCTCCTCTGCAGCTCTGCTGGTACTGTTGGTCTCACTCCAAACCCACAGACTCCACTTAAAGAGACACAGCCACCTCTGTCAAACTTAGGAAGAGATAAAAAAATCAAACTGATCAGAAATAAAACCAGCAAAACCACATATCCATTTGTCTGCAGATGTTTAACAGAGCAAATGAATGATGCTACTGCTCTAACTGAACAGACAGCCATGGTTGTAAATCCTGAATATTTCTGGGCACTGAACAAATCCATTAGAGCCCCTTCTTCCCTAGTCCTTTATCTCTTTCTTTCTCACTGACATAAAGTGTAATTATTTCCCCTCCCCTCCGCCTGCCCAGAGCTCTGCATTCCCCATCTGTCTTGGCTTTCATATCTTATCTGTTCCACTAGAGACTGAGGACAACAAAAAGCTCTACTGCGAAATAAATAATGAGGCTGGATGGAAAATCTGCAGCTTTGGACTCTCTCCTTGAACCAGGGCAGTGCTTCAGACAGAGCCCAGCAAAACGGCTCTGGACCACTGTGGACCACTCTGCCACCATCCTGCCAGTGCCACCCGTTTTGCTGGAGATGGGAAGCACGTGAGCTCCAGCTCTCTCCTGAACGCTGCAGGAGCTGCAGATGGCACCAGGGCAGCTCTGGGCAGAGGGAAATTAAGCTTCTGCTGGAGGCACCCACTAAATAACAGAAATCTTGGTTTACAAATAAATAGGTGCTCGAATAGTCTTAATTAAAAAGCAAAGTTCAGAGATAGACTGAATTTATATTCTGTTGAATTTATATTCTATTGTCTGGCTCCATGTTTTATTCAATTATGACTATGGTGTGGTAGTATTAGGCCACCCCCTTCCAAGACACTTAACCTACAAGCCTTGTATAATATACTCATACATACAATTACTTGTGTGCTAAGACAAAATATGAGGACATTTTTGAGATGACTAGAGACAGTGAATTAAGTGGAGTGACTTTTCTGGTCTTCACTTAAAAAATGGTCATAACCGTGTCTTGTTTGATATGAGAGGATTCCCATCATGCTACAAATAAACTTTAACAATAAGGTATAAACAGGCTTTCCCCTCTTTCTTCAAATAGGCAATTTGACAAAGAAAGAGGATCTAAATGTGAATCTTCAAATATTTCCTACTACCTTTACAACCTTAAAAACATTAACTTTGTGAAGAGAAAGAACTACTTTACAGTAGTAAGGCAATTAGTTAAAAGTATAAAACAAAATTTACTGAAAACAGGGAGCCATCATAATTCAAGAAAGATCTCTTAGTCCATTTTATACAAAAGTAAATGAATATGTTGTATACACTTAATATAAACAGAAATATACGACTCTTTTAAAAAGTTATTTTAAATCTAAAATTGTATTAGTTTTATCTGGCAATGGGAATCTTTATAATACAATGGCTTGTGCAAGCCCAGCTGTCTCTGAGATGGACTGGCATGTCTGCACTCAAGTGTCATTTAGTGAACTTTAAGAAGTCCTTAAGTTCTGCTAATCTAATTTTCCTTTGTAGACACTGAACTTCCAATCATTGCAAAACGTGGAGAAAGGAGGAAAAATTAACGACCAGGATTGATAGCTTGATCAAGCTGATAACTGGATTAAGAAAGCCACGAACGGAACTTTGTGGTACTCTCACATGACGTGTAATTCAACAATCTGGACATGCCACAAGGTCCTGCAGTGAGAGTATGTGAGGCCAGAGACACCTTTGTTGTGCTCAGCTGTCTGTGCACACATCCATGTGTGGAAAGCTTTAGCATGGTCAAGGAAACAATGACGGAAAAGGCTCTGTGTGGGCAGCCAGGGAACAATCTGCCCAACAGACTGCAGACTTGCAGATGTGAAGAAAAACACACCAGCTAAACAATGCTGAATGAACATCATTTTGTACTAAGAATCCTTAACACATGGGGGCTACTTGATGTGCAGGCACTTCAGTTTTTGGATTACTGGTGGTCCGGTGGGGAGCTCTGTGCAAGCTGATGCAGCAGAAGTCAAATACCATATCACCATTCTTGTAGGGAGAAAAAGCAGTTAAAAAACAACTAAAAACCACAACAAAACAACTTCCACACAAGTTACTGTAGCATCAGTGATGGGAGTTACTGCAGTAGCCGACTTTTGCAACACCAGCCAGCACTAACCTCCCACCACCAATCACTCACTGGGATGTTTTATTCATATACTATTCAGGACTATTATTTTTAAGCTTTGGTGAAGTTTAGCATAGTTGCAGACATGCTTTCTGTGTAAAAATGTTTATGACAGTTGCAGATGAGCTTTTTGTGTAAAAAGGTTAGTTCCATTATTATCTTTAAGCCAATTTATGAACCAATTATAGTCCACTGACAGATGAGGTTTAAAAAGCTAGATTGGAGGGTCCTTGGACTTTGACAGCTTATACCAAAAAGAGTCTGTACTTAGGAAAATCTGCTGATGAGGTGTCTGCTCCCTTCTTAATTCTCTGCCAAATGAGATAGTGGGTAATACAGGTCACTGAGCCAGCCAGTGGCTCCCCAGCAAAGCTCACTTACCACGGCTCACGGGGCTGTGAGTCGTTACCTGCCGTGCAGCACATGCTTGGGCAAGAGACCAGGGCAAAAAGCACCTTTTACAGCAACCAAAGCACTTGAGATTCCTTGAGATATACAGTGAATGAACGACATAGCACCGACCAGACAGTGGAGATAATGAAACATGAAAGATCACGGAAAACATAAAACCACAGAGGTTATTGGTCTTCAGACACCATGCAAGCAGTATAGCAGAGGTT